TTTTGTTAGTTGCACAATATAAATATGATCGTCACTTTATGTCACATTTAGTGTTAAAATCGAAAGTCCACTATGCTAATCTGAAGTTGGTCAAAGATTATATAATGACCTTTGAAGATGGAAGATGATTGCATTTTTATTTTTTTTTTATGACATACTTGGTCATTTGTCACAACTGAGTAAACATTTTCAAAAAAAAATCTAAGGTTTAATGATATAGAGCCAGCAATTAAAACAACAATACAACTTATTAATTCAGAATATATAGATGCTCCTCAAGGATTATTTGGAAGAAATTTGAAAGCATCTATTCATCAAACAACTCCTTTTAATAATTCAATAATTAATTATAATAATCATGTGCTTGTTTATTCAGATGAAGATTATGATGACTTGTTGTCAAATATATATGAATATGCATCCATGGTAATTTATGAAATTAATGTTAGATTTCCAGATTATCCTTTGGTTACAGCAATGAAAGCATTGAATCCTTCTGAGTGGCCATCTATTGAATCTGAGGATTTTATTACATTTGGGCTATCAGAATTAAAAATTTTGGTAGATGTTTTTGGAGTAAAAAAATCTACCGATGTTAATGGTTATAATGAAATTTCTCCACTAATTGATCAAAATGAATGTCAGAATGAATACCCTGGTTTTAAAACAATTGTTGCAACTAATTATTTTGAAACGATTGCTTGAAAAACATTTCTAGAAGGAATTTATTCTATTAATATTGGATGAAATAAATATGGAAAATAAAAGAAAATAAAAAAAAAACCATATCGATAAATTTGGTTAAAATGGGAGCGAGACTTGTTAGTCTTCTAAGTAAATAAATCGATCCTTTCGAATGAAAATTTTTTTTTTAAATTCAAAAAAAAAAAAGAAAGCCTTTTAATTAATTATTTTATTTTAGTTATATATTATATATATAAATAGATTTGTTAATTATGCATATCAAAACTGTAATGTTTTATTATTAGAAATAATCATTTCCAATCATTTTAATTAATATTTTTTTTTTCAATCAAATCAATATGCTTTTTCTCCAGTAAAATTTATATTATTTGCATATTTAATATATTATGAAACGCATATGATCATTATATAATTTCATATATAATATATGCTTTATATATGCTTTCATATATGCTTTCATATAAATATGCTTTCAAATACGTCGTACATACTTCTTACCTAGTTTACACATACAAAATAAGTAAATAAAGTTATGAATTTAAAAAAAAAATTACTTTATTCGCACACGCGTAATATTAAATTTCATAATAACAGTAAAAATTTTCTTTTATAATCCCCAATATTTTTGGTTATGAGACTGGTTCTAAATGAGTTTCACCACATTATGTATGTTCCTTTCCACGTTTATAATTAAATAGCTATAATTAATTTATTTAAAAAATTTTTATTTATTTATTTAAACCGACTAAAAAATTGGGATTTTAATTTTTTCATTTAGCAAAAATTATTTTTGTACAAAAAAAAATATTAATTAAAATGATTGGAAATGATTATTTCTAATAATAA